GGTTTTCTTTTGGTTAAATGTTGTGTGTTGTATTTTATTACTTGGAGTATCCACACAGTCAGCGTTGTTGCTGTATGTGCACACTACGTCTATCCTATCCTGTGAAATGTTAATATCTTAAAGCTTGTGTGTGTCTGCAGTTCAGACGTCACTGCCTGTAGCTGCAGGTCTCTGCGTTAGAAGGGATTCTGTGTTTGCAGAACTCACATGAATGTAAGATTAATCAATTAACATCATCAGGTCCAACCTCCACCAGCTGATTTTTATGCATAAGTTTTCAGAGGAAGAAGAGATTGATCATTTGCCTTTGTGTAATCAATAAATGCCCTACTTACATTCACTTCTCACCAGTTTACTTTCTGAAAGAATACCAACGCCATCAAGGATCATTGCTCAAGATATAGAGCCGGGCAACCTCTATAACCTCTGGCTGACGTCATGTTTTCAACTCTGAAGCACTTCCATGCGGCTGGCTGCACAAGTGCGAGTTGACAACCGGGCGCTTATATTATCACCCTTCTCACAGGTGCTTGTTAGAATCAGTGTGACAGAAACAAACAGATGATAATTGTGAAGTCAAGCACCCATTGTGTTATAATCCCTGATATATCCACACGGAGCTGTGCACTGTGCAATCACCCACTCGCTTGGTTTGTTCACCTTAAAGTGGAATGGCAAAAAATCTACCGCCAAGTCACTCCGCAAAATAATTTAATGCACCAACAAGCGGACATTTTTTGGAACATAAAACCTGTCTCATCTAACACAAACAGGCCCCCTATGCACCGTGACTCAGTGATTACTGCCTGCAATATTTCTCAATCACTTGAGCTGAAATCCCAGGGCGCTCATATGCACAGAGACAAGCAGACAGGGCTTAAGAGAGAGAAAAGACAGGGAGGAGAGACAGGAAAGAAAGACAGAAACAGAGAGGGATGAGCAGAGAGACATGCGTGCCTGACCTGCATGCCAAGTAGCCATTTTCGTACCCACCCTCTTCACCCCCCCCCCCCCCC